GTTATCGAATCATACCATATTACAGTTAATAAATATACGGTTATTGAATATTGCAATTTTTGTATATCTCCGTATTTATTTTTCACTGTTTTCACTTTAGGGCGGATTTGAAAATCGATATCGTTCTCTCACAATACTTCTTTCTTTCTACTCTTCTCAAGTGCACCGCGAATACGGAAGTATCCCGCACGTGTTTGTACATGGTAATGCATTCCCGCTCTAAACGCAAACAATCCTTATCTCTGCGCTGCCATTCGTGAATTAAGTATCGCGCAGTAGAATAAAGTGCACTCAGATACAAAATTAATTGCTAAAGTTTCTACGCCGTGTTTACGAGCGTACTTTTTTTTATACTTTGAATGTACCGAGTCTCACTAATACTTTGCAATTTGTTTGTGACATATTACTTTGTTTAAGTAAAATAATTTTTAAATTTTAATTATAATTAAAATTGAATTATAATAAATGAAATCGATCGAGAAATGGTCAACAAAAATAAACAAAGATATTGGCTGTATTCAGTCAAAGTGGATCTTGCTGCTTAATAATATTTTTTAAGTAATTTTACCTTAGTAGCAAATTATATTAAAATATTTTAAAAAATTAAAAAATATAAAAATAATACACTAGAGAGACTTTTATATTAAGTTCATCTATGTTAAGTCGAAATTAGTAAAAATGGTAGTGAAAATGTTAAACTGAAAGAGTTTTGACGAGATTATCTATTGTTAGAGATTCACATAGGTACACTAATATTTTTTCGTGTACGTTTAAATAAATTTTTCTCTATTTAAAATATATACTTTGTACGCAATATATATCTTAGTATTGCATAGAAAGAGTTCATGTTTATGGTTAAGAAGTTATAAATGAATCAACAAAAAGTCCGTCTTAAATTGGTCGACAAACTCGCTATCAACAGGAACAACAGTAATCGCTTGGGGGATACCCTCTATGGAAAACAAGCACCACCGAGTTGGTCGCAAGTTAGCGTGGCGCACTTGTTAGTGTACCGTCGCTTTTTGTATCCCAGCGGTAAAACTTGCAAGCGTCCACGATAATTTCATGCAAACGGCCGCGAACGACTCGCGCAACGAGCTGGCCTGCAACGAAACGCCAGAACACCCACGAGTTATCGTTACCGTGCATCGTGGCAGCGATCGCGGTTGGCGATGGTTTATGAAGGTTACATTGCGCGAGTGGACGATTCGCCCAACCGTATATAATAAAAATATCTTCCGTTGCTCGGATCCCTTTTTAGAGGAACTTTACCGCGATGCTGTCGCTTTTGGAGCAGCGAAGCGATGCGACGTCCTCATTAATGAGTACCTCTTGTAATTAAACTCGTTATATTTTATTTGCCCCTAGCTAAAACACGGACAGAGAAATGGTGAGTGTTTGCTAGAAAATCTATCCTCCATTTAGCTAAAATTCTTTATTTCTACATAAAGAAAAAACTTTCGCATTTCTTGATTTGGACTAAACAGAGTGTTTAGTAATATTTTATATTTTTAAAGACTTTGTATAGCGAACAAATCCTTTGGGCATTTCTTTCTTATTTTTAAATGCATGAATGTATGCATAGAGAATAAAAATTTGGTTATTTTTACAAGGATAAAGTGGCTAGCTTTTGACTAATTGTGGAAAAGAACTTTTATTATATCAGTGAAACAATTTGTTAATTTTTAAATCTAAATTTTTTTGAAATTTTACGGACAGTCACCTGTGTTTGTGATATAATTGATGAGAACGAAAAACTTTTTGCTTCGAGATAAATTTTATAAATCAGTCATTATGAGATATGTAAAAACGAGAATGCAAAAGATCGTGTTTTTTTTAACAAAATAAAATTTGCAGTATATTGTTGCACGGTCATACTTTCCTGTATATCCTCATTATTTAACTTTTGCGAGCAGTTTGCGTGCAGTTTGTGGCGTAGCTTCTGTGTAAAACATCGTGGTGCTTTGTGCCTTTCTCTTTGTAATCCGTCAATTTCAGAAGCGTGTTCTCTACTTCTCTATTGCTTTTAAAATCCACTGAGAATTTTGTCCGTCATAGCTATACATTACTTTCAATTACTTTAAGTTGGCTGCTGCTCGCCGTTTCCGCAAAAATTAAACAACTTTTCCATTTTGTATGTATCGTACTAAAATGTACGAGTACCTATGCATAGACATTCATTGTTGAGTAATTTAGTTGGATTCTTTATGCTTATTAAAAGTTATTATTGGGACAAAAAAAGAAGAATTCTGCAAATGAAAAATTAAACTTACAAATTTATAATTGTATTTTTACCAAAACGATAATATATTTATTACATAAAATCAACATTACATTTCCGTTGCAAGGTAAACTGAAAAAAAATATTGATTAAAAAATACATTTAAAATAAAAATAATTTTGTGGCTTCAAGAATAAATTAAGTATAAATTACCTATATGAGAGAGTCGTTACTGAGTAAATAATATATTTATAAAGTGATACGATATAATGTGCAATTAATTTTATTGGTAAGTATATTTCAGTTGTTTGCAAATCACATATCTTGTCTTATAAATATCTTATACATATAATATTATTTACACACTGACTACAGAGGGTGTTATTATTTAGGTAACTAATTCATATTGATTTTAAAACAATTTCATATCTGTTTCTAAATAGCAACATTTTACGGTTAAGTTCAAATGTTGGCATTACTCCATTTTATATCTATAACTAGTGTAAACACTATTTATTGTGGCAATTGCCTCCTAAATGACGTCTTCAATAAAATTATAAACGGCATAGGCGTCTACAATGAAATCACAGTCAAATGTGAAAGGAATCGATTACGATTGGTCAATTCCTTAAGACTTCAGGCTTACTATATCTATGTTTTTACGAGGTTATGCTGTAAGCATACAAAAAAACTTAAGCAGTAAAATGTGAACCGTAAACGAATTGACTAATCACAGTAGAGACCGTAAGGTTATAACGTAAGTAAGTAGCAAACCCGTTGTTGATTTCCTTACTGCTTACGTCTAATGGCTTAAGTTTTTCTATGTGCAATAGTTCTGAAAATCCCATTATAGATGCCGCTTAATAAGCTAAATTCGCTTCTTTAATTATTGGTTTTACTTGATTTTATTAGAAAAATGATATAATGCTGTATAACGTTACAGTTACATACGATGCTGTTATATCCGTACATTATTATTTATGTATCAGTATTTTATAATTCGGACGAAATTACGAAATTTGTATCAGTGGAGATGATGCGGTTTACTTTTATTGTACCTCACATTATATTTGTGAACATCTCAGTGTAATCAGAGCCGCAGAGTCAGATAGCGTAATCGCTCCAAGACGATGCACCTTGAGACGACTGCAGCTTGTATTCAACCTACTCTTTGCGAAATTACAGGAGAAAATGTCGAGAGTGAGATGAAAAACGCGTGGTTAAAGAGATTCGCGAATACTTTGCTCAAATAATTCTCAACAGAACATCTCGGAGAGAAATAAAGCCACATTTATTGAATTCTCATGCAATTTTGATTGCGATTAATAATAATTCTGATAGTAATTTTATTAAAGCACTAATCAAATCCATAAAATTCCAGGAATAGAATTTGCGATATCGAAATTAAATTGTTTAATTTGTAAAATGTTGTATGACTGTATCATATATTGTCATACATTTTTTATATGTAATTGGGACATAGCTTTTTAAAATATATTGTTATTAACTAAATAAAATATTATATTTATAGCACACGATATAATTGATATAAAATGAATATATTACCTTTCGATTGTCAAAAAATTTTATTATTAATCATTTCATATTAAAAACCTTTCTGATAAATTAATCTTGAATGATATAAGTGAGTAACAAAATCGTTTTTTATGTTTCAACAAACTTAAATTCAGTTTTAAATGATTTAAAATATTAAAATTGACACATTGATGCTTAAAATTAATGAAGTTTGTAAGAATTGAAGATATTTTAAATAAAATTTTAATGAAAAGATTACAGTATCTATAACTAGTAAAACGGACAATATGAGATAGTTGAAACTGTTCTATATATTAGCAAAGCGTTTGGAATGATAGAAAATCCATTAGAAGAAAGCAAAAATGCTCGTTACGCATGACTTTTTACATTAGATCGCTTCGGATTAATCGCGGTTATCCGGTAATTTCCGATTCCTTTCGGTTCATTCGTGAAGAAAACGGCAGGGAAAAAACGGAAAGTCTACCACCGAATTGGTTTCCTTGCAATTTTCTTCAGCGAGCTAACCTCGAGATCATCTCGGAGAATGCAAAACCGCCATCCTGGATTTTCTCTTTGCTTGTGAACGAGCGGAATTTGGGGCGAGAACCACCACTTCCGTGTCCTGTTCACTTCCGGCATTTTCCTTCCCTTCTGATCTCCCTGAATTGCGCGACGATTGCTTTCTTCGCTCGGTTTCCCAGTTTCCTTTGTATTGTTTCCGAGCTCACTCACGCTCGAATTTGTCACGCTTGCGAAAGATTCGAATTTTATTGGTTAGCATGTGTGATAACGTTCTGCATGAATTAAATTTATCATTTAAAAAACGTTAATAAAAAATATCGCAAAAATATTATATAAAAAAACATTTATTTTTTCACACATAACATGTTTATCATTAAAGGAAAGAATTAATCAGGACAGTGAAGAATTGTCAATAATAAATAACGTATTGCCATGCAGTATAATCATTGTTTTGTCTTAGCTTCTGGAGCTCAATACGTATTTGTATTGAAATATTAGGCCAATATTATATACGTTTGTAGAATTCTTTCAAAGCAGTTTATTGTTTATTTACATGTAAACATTTGCCAATAAAAGAACAATTATGATTATATAAAATTACATTGCAATTTTTATGAATAGTTATAAGAAAAGTTTTTTGTTTTATCTGAATTATATAGCAACCACTTTATGTGTAAATTTAAGTCATACCTATATATGTTACAATATTGAAAACAAAGATTTAGTAACTTTGTTTAGAAAACAAATCTGTTTTTTCCCGTATGTCTGTTATATCCATTTCTATATAGCGGAAGTGTATTTCGTCTAGATTCACTGTACCAAGAACAAAACGCTGATATCTATCTGATATGTACGTTAGCTGATCCCAATAGCTTGAATATTTCAGACCAGATATTATTTGCAATTTTTTGGAATCTTGCGAGATGATCGCCTTAAAATTAATATTTTGTTTTACAGCATTATATAATACTAAAAACTATTAAATATACTATAACAATTATTAATAGAATTCAAACAATCATTGATAGAAATAATTTATTATTGATCAATATGTAACTGATATTGTATGGTATTTGGATATATTACCGTATTTTCACCAGATTTTTCAACGTTCGTCCCTAGTAGAGACGTCCCCTGAACATCGCTGTAAAATATTGCATTTTCCACTGCTGCCATCGGTAATATTGGTTTTGCAACTAATTTCACAAATTTACTCTCTTTATTAGCTTCTTCTTTGTTTGGACATCCTAGTAGCGTCTTTATTTTTATTTTATAGATTTCATTTCCCGATAAAGAAGCATAATAAAGATCTAAAATATTTGTAATAAAATGTGAAAGAATCATAGGAATCAGCAAAATTATGTGCAAGACGATTTTCTAAGTTTCTTTGTTAATAGCATCATGTATATATCAGATTGCTCAAATGAAAAAGAGACGAGTGTTGTGACAGCCACCTATGTGATAATATGTTGTGCATATTTGATATTTGCTGCATACGCAATGTCGTGTGTGCATGACATGCATGTGACGTTCGTGGACAGAAGACGTTGACAACGAGCACAATCAGTTGCTTAATATCCAGTTTGATTGTTAAGGGGAAAAATGACGTTTTTATTGGAAAATTCATCTAATGAAGAGCACACGTGTGACGAGACGAATGTGTGATATAGAATTTTTAGTACCACATACGAAGTGAAGTTTATATACGAAAAGTGTCTTTATATTAAAAAAAATGACATGTGTATCTTAAAGAGAAAGCACCTAAACATTCTTATTCGTTTTCAATCGAGAGTTACTTCGCTCTTTTTTTGTAAGTAAGCAAAGTTAAAAAACGCTTTTTGCTTCAACGTCGAATAGCTCGGTAAATAAAATTGTATAATAATCAATAAATACCAAATCAAAGATAAAACTTCACTTTTTTAAAAGCTGTAAACTACACTAGTGTGTGATTTCTAATTTATTACGGAACTTTGCAAAGATTGTACAAAATATTTAGAAATTATGAATTTATTTATGTCTGTGTATGTCCGTTAAAATCAATCAGATCTTTATCTAAAACAATGATCTGAAAGGTAAGGTTTGAAGTTTTAAAATGCTCTTTGAATTATCTCGTTATGATCATTTATGTAGGGTTTACAATAGAAGTCGTAGCTGTCGTAGGGTCTTAAGTCGTAGAAAATTGACCAATCACAGTCAAATTCTATGATTTAAGACTCTACGATCTCTACGACTTCTATTGTAGACCTCCTCGCATTATTGTGCTCTTTTGAAAATTGTTTATTTTTGGAGACAGAGAGAGAGACAGGGAGAGGGAGGGAGGGGGAGAGAGAGAGAGAATAAGTGATCTCCATCTCTTTAATTTCTTTTACGTAATGTACTGAACAAAAAAAATTATGAATGGGGTTTCAGTTTAAAATTGAAGAAAAAATTAATAACACTTGTTATGTAAGAAAATAATGTTCATTAAAATAATGTAAATTAAAAAGTGAGTACTTGCCACTGCCAAGAACTGTTAAACTTAAGATACCACCCGTATATGTAAAATTTTCTCCTACTACAGAGAAAATAACATCAGCTGATTTCATGGAATCAGATTCGACTCTGCACATACGCTTTGTACATGAATCATAAACTATTAAACCAGAACCTTGAGAGTCAGCCATAAATACCTGTATATATTTATGTGCGTATTTAATCATTTAAATTGCAGATGTAGAGGAGAGTTGCTGAATATACATAACGGTCGCTTAAATCAAACATCAACATTTTATATTTTTATTTAATAATAATAAGCAACATATATATATATTATGAACATATAAATATTGAAAATGAATGAGATGAGAAAATAATATAAAAACAAAAATTTAATAAATTATATATATATACCTTGTTTTATACACAAAGTAAACAATAATTTTTTAATACTAAAGCTACTGGTGTTAATTTTTGATTGCTTTATATTTTGATAACAGTATGACTAAAATGACCATATCTTATAATTTTATTTTGAAATTTTATACTTTTATAGAAGAAGGGGTTTATTGTTAAATATTTTACGTTTATATTACATATTTATGTATGTATTTGTAGTTATTGTAAAGATATATAAAATGGTAATTTTATAAAATTTGACAACAAATTTTACTGGAATAAATATTAATTTTAGACTGATAATTGATAATAAATTTAATAGTTGATGAATAAAAACATACTAATTGTAAAAAGAAATTTAATTCGATTTTAATTTTCTTTACATTTTTATTATTTATTATAATTGTAAAACATTTAATCTTATTTTAAATTACTAGTTATTAATAAAATAAGTAATAGGTAATGTTCCTATTATTAATCTTATAATTTTAATTATTTTAATTTATAAATTTGACTTTCAAAAGCACAGTACCATAATTTAGACAACTGGTTACTTAAGTCATATTTTTTTCAGCATCTTACAAAAAAGCTTAAAAATTGATTTGTCATTGGTAAAAAGTTAAACATGTAATAATAGCTATCTGAAACATCAAGCTACAATGTCTAACACTAATTTTACATGCGAATCAATGTAATAAATGGAAAATTTGGAAAATATAACAACAAAATAATTTCAGTATGTATATTTGGCAACTTTCTTTTACATAATATGACTAATTTGTAAAGTGATCATAATGAAATATACTGTTAAAAAAATGTACTCACAATCATTTCATCCAGAAACCGCTTGCATGTTTTAGGATAATAAACAATAGGTGTTATTAAATATCCAGCACCTGTTCGATTAGTCGCAATATCAAGTGGGATGTAAATTATTTTAACTAGTGTATCATCCTCTAAATTAAAGATCAACAGTTTTGGATTGCAAATTAGGTCGGACCCAATTTTGCCGTTATCTAGAAGGACGATGTAATTGCATTGAATCTGAAGTGAAAGTAAAAATTCATTTTTTAATGTTTTCAAGTTGATCATGAGTATGTAGTAGAGATGTGCAAATCAAGATTTTTTTGTTGTATCGAATCAAATTCGTATTAAAATATTTCATTCATCTCTAGTAGTATGTAGGTATACATAAAAAAACTGGACATTTAATGTATATTTAAACAATAATATCTAAATATACACGTATAGTGTAACGCCACTTGAAAAATGATATTATTAACACTTACGTGCAGTCGGTAAACGTTGACAATACCATCACATATACAACTATTATTATGCCAACTCCAATCTGGATAAGGACGTAAAAGTGGACCTCCTGGTCCTGTCTTATTAGTGACTGTGGCCACAGTAGCAGGTGTACCAGGGCCTAATTCTCTTGGCGCAGTAACGAATATTCTACCATCTATAAAAATTTTGTTTGTGAACGGAATTTACGTGCAAAAATGATATATTCATTTCGCAAATTCTTATAGCAGTAAGATGTTATTATATTAACATCACATCGAAATACGTATAATAAAAAGTAAAAATTTTAAAGTGATTATATATTAATTAAAAATTCTACAATCGTAAACATTAAACTTTCGCTAATAAAAATATTCTCATATTTTCTAATAAAATTTTTATAACTTTTTTGAATAATCTGGCATCAACTTACCTTTTGCTTTGTCTGCATCGATCAACACACACGTGTAAGGGTCATAAATGCCAGAATTTATCGCGTCTTTTTTTTGTTGCTTACTTTCCCATTCATACTCACAATATCTCCATTTATGAACAACATTTATTTTGATTCCAAAGCTCACAATCGCCATCGACAGAATTAGCATAGCAAACAAAGAATGCTCCATTTTTTACAATAACGGATAGCTTACAAATATTGTTGTACTGTTCAGAGTACAAAATAGGACTCGTTACTGGGATACGAATCTGTCTTAGGAATTAAAATTTCGAAATTCAAGAAAATTATTGCACAGATGTTCTTTTAATCAAATATATTTTGTATAATTATAAACTATATCAGCAGAATTGTTTTGTTTTCTCTGCGAGTCTTTTATAATATAATTGTAGCGAAGATATTACAGTAAGACATATTACCAGAATCTTACAAATTAATAGACTGTTGGAAAAAACGACGCGTTCAGTATTTCTCTGTTTTTATTGTAATAAAGTATTTCAAGGTTTTAACATTCCACTTTTGGTTTTTTTTTATATAAATAAATTTTCTTATGAAATACAATAAATTGTGCAAATCAGTGATTTTTTAAATATGCGTGTGTCTTTTAATAATTAAGTGTTGTGACTTTTTGGGTTGCAACAATAAAATAATATAATTAAACCGTATTGGCAGAGATATGTATATCAAATGCAAGTGAGGTAACGACTGCTTGCTATTTATACCTTTTTTCACAATATATCATATATGAATTGCTTTTAAAAACCCCATTATATGTATAACTTATCGTAATTGTAGAATAGTTAATGTGTTTCGATTCTATTCGACATTATGACACTTACAATAATATGACTTATTATGCGTGTATATAATGATATATGCATGTCTACTATGTACATATTGTATATTATTTTAACATTGAGATCGTGAGGAAAGGAGAGAAGCTAACATAATTTTTATTTTATTTATAATACTTATCATATTTTTGATCGCCAAAGTTGCAGGTGGGCTAAGGCCTATTTCTTACGTTCATAGTAACAAATACTCTATTATTTACAAACACTTTATAAATGGAACTTACGTGCTATTAAAGAAATTTATTTTGCAGATTCTATGGTAAAAATAAAGTTATTCAGTGCATTAATAAGATCGAAATTTATACATGCGTATATTAAAATGTATAGATAATATGATTAATTGTAAGTATTATTAAACACACATATATTATACCTACAAATTAAGCTTTTGTCAATAAAAGTATTGATATTTTTGTACACACACACACACACACACACACACACACAATCGTTATAACTTTTTTAAATAGTTTTAGTAGCTATTAATCTACCCTTTAATTTACCTGCGGCATCTAACGTGTAAAGGTCATAATTATCAGACTTTATTTAAAAGCATATATGTATGCTTTTAAATGCAGATATAAATGCTTTTAAAAACCCCATTATATGTATAACTTATCGTAATTATGGAGAATAATCTTTTGTTGCTGGTTTTCCCCATTCATATTCATAATATTTCTATTCATGACAATGTTTACTTCAATTCCAAAACTCATAATCCCCATCGATAGAATCAGAAGACACGATATTTGGCTAAACGCACAAGCGCAGCTACATTTTAAGTATAATGGTGAGCCAAGAACGCCTAATTTTTTATCGTAGCGGATTTCCTGCACAGTACACAGTAGTCTATGTAATAATGTTGTATCCCTCAAATTTGAGATATAAAACCTGAGATCTTCTTTACCAGAATACAAATTTATCTTGAGAATTAGAATCCAAAATCTCAAGAGAGAAACATTACAAATTCTTTTTAATCAAATATTTATTGAAAAGTATTATTTATTTTATTACTGATCTATTGCTTTTGTTTTGCCTTTTCTGCAACTACATCAGTCTAATGTAATCGCACAAAAAATATTATAGTAAGATGTTTTGAATCTTACAACATCATGATGTATTACTATTAAGTTTTCGAGGAAAAAATAATCCTAATACATTCGGCGATTTCTGTTATTTTAAACTCTTATTCTCATTATTAAAATATGTTTTATAATGTTCCAATGTTTCTCTGTGCGATTTTAAGCTCTTTTCTTTTTAATTTATTTATAACTGTAACTTTTTGTATGAAGCAGCTAATACAATAGCCAATTTTCTAGATGTTTTGGTGTTAAAAACTATTTGCAGAATTGTCTCATTACGTTACATTTTTTAGCTCAAATAAAAAAAAAATATTTTTTTGCCTTTTAAGCTTAATTTTTTAAAAAATTGCAATGTGAAGATGAACAACTTTATTAACGTAACCGTTTTTTGCGACTATAAGAATTCTATCTTATTTGGTTCATGGTTTCTAAAAAGAAATTTTTTGTCGAAAGTGTAATTAGGTTTGTGACTTTTTGGATTACAATAAGGTAAGATAACTGAACTATACCTATTAGACAGTTAGAAAGTGTGTACTGCAAATGCGAATGACGATAATAATTTATCATTTTATTTTCAATGCAAAATACATAAAAATGCTTTTAAAACTTTCATCATGCAAAGTATGATCGTAATTGCAGTCTCATTAAAAGTCTTTCGAATCGGCGTATATAACATACAGTATATACGATGACGAACAAAAATGTTAACACGAAACGCTACTTTTGTAATAAAATGACGATACTCGATATTTGTGCTAGTTATTAGTAAAAAAATACACTGTATAAATTAAAAAAATAAGAATAATGTATAAAACACTTTATTCTTATTCGTAGTAATACTTGAAGTATACGTACACAAAAAATATACATTCCCGTTTATAATCGAAACATTCGAGAACGCTTGCGATATACTCGCAATTTATTCAAACTTAAGTACCTCAATGAAGAGAAAATTGTAGAAGTTTTTTAAAAATGGATTTTAAAAAAGAAAATATTAATTGGTATTTAAATTTTGTCTTTATGATATTTTGTTCTTAAAGTACATAAAATTGAAAATTGACATTTTTAAAAAATATTTTTGTTATATATTTTGAAGCATTGTTTCTGACTAAGACATCAACGGACTAAAAATAAATAAGCATTTTAAATCTTTTTGAAAAAATTGGTACAATGAGTTTTTGCAAAAATTTTGAATTTTTATTGTCTAAAATTTTATTGTATAAAAATATTTTTGTTCAAAATGTGTTAAACTTAGAAACTATAAAGTTTACGAAAAAAGACAAAAGTGTTTATTATAATTTGATTAAATTGTAGAAATTTTTTTCAAAATTAAAAAAAAAACTTTCGATTCTATCAATTTTTATAAAAAAAGTACATATTTCCCTCACTTTTTATAGGTTCAAAGACAAAAGTTGCTGAAATAAAAGATAAGTGCAAGTTTTTAAATTACGCTGCAGATTATCCCATTCTTCTTTACTTTAATGTTGTTGTGAATTACTGCGAATTAAGTGTGTAAGTGTTATAGCTATTATCGCCTTACATCTATACGTCGTACACGACTTCTTGAGCTGTAACACATGATAGATACGGATGTAAAAGTGGACTTCTTGATCCTGTCATATCAGTCACTGTCGCCAAAGTGACAGGTGAACCAAGGTCAATTTCTCTTGGCACAGTAACAAATACTCTACCATCTATAAGGATTTTGCTTGTGAGTGGAACTTACCTTCTACTAAAAAATATAAGATAAATTGTTCTAGTGACCGAACATAATTATATCCGTAAACTTACACACAAAATTTATTATTATTAATTTTAAATGTTCTTTTTATTACAATATTTACGATAGTATTTAAAGATAAAAATTAGATTATAATGTATTTAAAGAAGTACTTAAGATTAATAATAATATAAATAAATAAATAAAGTTTTGTGTAAATATGCGGACATAAGTATATGTTCGGTCACGAGGACATTTACTTTATTTATTTGCAGATCTATTACAGTACTGATGCTATCATTGCATTAACATCATAATGCACAAACATATGGTATACACACGCGCATCCAAAAGAACACGTGCACTGCGCAAGCATGACGCACGCGTGTATTTGTGTGTGTGCGTGTGTGTATAAAATAAAAGTAATAATTATAAAAATTAAACTTTTGCTAATATAAAAATATTTAAAAATATTTATATTTTTTAACAAAATTTCTTTAACTTTTTCGAATAATTTGCCATCAACTTACTATTTGCTTTATCTGCATCGATACACATGCTCATGTAAGAATTGTAAACACCAGAACTTGTTGCGTCTTCCTTCTGCTGTTCACTTTTCCATTCGTACTCATAATATTTCCATTTATGAACAACATTTAATTCGAATCCACTCACAATCGCCATGGACAGAATTAGCAGGGCAAACAGAGAATATTCCATTTTTTACGGGTAGTTACAAATAATTATGCTGTGCCGTTCAAAGTACAGAACGAAATTTGCTGCCGGGACGTATGAGTTTGTCTTAGCGGTTAGAATTTTGAGTATCAAGAATTACACAGGTATCCGTTTAATCAAGTATTTATTGTTAAAAGTAAGTATTTGTTGTTAAAATACTTACTGCATTTACAGAGTTATTGTTGTACCGTTTGCTCAATTATATCATTTAATATAGTCAGCACAAAAGTATAGTAAAGTATTATCAAAATATCACAAGTGTATTGTTAACAGGTTTTTAAAAAAATATTGCACTTGAGGTATCCTAATATTTCACTTTAGTTTTCGCACTAAATTGCATTTGCTTATAAAAAGTGATAAATTGTGAAAATTAATAAAGTGTGTGTTTTAATAACTAAGTCTGTTGTGACTTTTTGAGTTGCAATAATAAAACAGTATAGTCAGACTGTACCGATAGACATGTATTATATTATATATTAGAAATACGAGTGAGACGACGACTGCTTGTTATTTATACCTTTTTTTACACAAAAATGCTTTTAAAAACTACATTATAACTTATAATCATAATTGCAGTCTAGTTCAAGTTCATCTGAATTGGCATTGTTACAACAGTTTTAGTTAACTTATTGCGCATATATAATAACATGCAATACGTAGTTACCTTATCAACGAGGCCATCAGTAACGGAAAATAATATTGTCTTATTTGTCTTACATTTTTCTTATTTCTTAAATATGAAATAAATATTTATAGAAGTTTAAATTCCGAGTACCAAGGGGAACATTGTACACGTGTCCTTTTTTAGTTAAATATTTATTGAAAAGTGTTATTTACTCTATTAACAGATTTTCGGAAAGCGATCCGGCGATTTCTCTGTTTTTATTATTAATAAAGTGGTGTCCCAATGTTCCATTTTGGTTTTCACAACAAATTGCATTTACTTATGGAATACAATGAGTTACGCTAGTAGCAATTTTTTCAAAAATATGTACATCTCTTAATAATTAGATCTGTTTTGTGACTTTTTAGATTAATAATATTATTTATTGGTTAAACGATAAAATATTATAATTAACTGACCTATACCGGCAGGCACGAATATCGTAAACGCGAACGCAATGACTATCGTTTGCTATTTATACTTTTTTCATGCAATTTACACGCTAATGCTTTCACCTAGTGTTGAAACCTAATTTATATCTAATGCTAAAACTTCATTATAACTCTTATTATAACATTTATAAATGACCTTTGATATTTACACATGTATAATAATATGCAGTTTATGTCATAATGCATATGCCGAACATATATTATGTTATCTTATCGATGAGGCTATAAGAAATGAAAAATAATTTTGTTAAACATATACATATATAATACATATATATAATACATATATCTTATATTTTTCATTTTTATTTTCTTCAATTATGGAATAAAAGTATTTAAATTTTTTTATATTAAACTTGTACTTTATTTACTTTGTTAAATAATATAAACATGTTTAATGTTTTTATACACGCATAATTAACCCTTAGTACAAATATTTAAGTCCATATCTTGCACATTTCTTTTTTTTTCCGAAAAATTAGGCACATTATGGTAACTAATTATAACATTTCTTGCACATTTCTTTTTTTTTTCGAAAAATTAGGCACATTATGGTAACTAATTATAACATTTCTTGCACATTTCTTTTTTTTTTTTTTTTCGAAAAATTAGGCACATTATGGTACGTAACTAATATAACATTTACATATATACAATTTCTTAAAAAAATATATAACTTTATATACCAGTATAAATATACTTTCTAAATATGTTAAAATATGTATGAGAATCACTTAATATAATATATTTGATATTTATACAAGATACATATTATTAAAAAACTCATTCAACAAAACGCTCGGATACAGTACAATTTATTTTTAATGTAGTTTCATTATTCTAAGGAAAATTAAAATTCGTGAAGAGACCTTTTTTTAATTCTTAATGTTGCTTTTTCATGCATTGTCGAACAGAATTTTCTTTATATTATCCCTGAGCTTACTGGCGTTCGAATTTGTTACACTTGCGAAAAATTAGAATTTTATATCACGATTAGTGTACTAGTTAAATCGATTTGTACTACTTAAATCGATCGCTGGAATTTGCGTTTCGTAAAAAATGTTAATTATGTCTCATTATTAACTGATTACTTCCAATTACGCAATTTTATTAGGATCATTAATATTTCTTCATTAAATCTTAATTCGTTTTCCTTAGAATTATTAAGTTTTATTTATAATTTTAAAAAATTGCAATCTTTCTGATACGAGACACTCGGCACATCAAGTATTGCACACCAAGGGAGTTAAAAATTCAAATACTATTCTCGAGAAGTAAATTGAATTTTTCTTTCCTCTTTTCGTGTCTCTACAATAACGTGCGTCTAAAAATTTCAAATTACTGTCCACAAACGTGCATGTGTTTGCGATGATTCGTAACTACTTAATTAAAGAATGATTATTGTGTAGTTCATATGTCTAATATAACTATTATAATATAATACATACATCGAGTAAGTAATGATGAATAAAAAATACATTACAACAAATAAAACAATATTTAATTCAATGTCTCGTTAGTGTTCGTTCAGTATAAAAGAGCCGAAACTCTATGTATTTGCTCTATAGCTAACAATTTTAGCCAGTGCATGGTATTAGCACGTGATACCGCTATGCTCTACTGCTGGCTCTACTTTGATCTGTCGGCGTAACGTTTATCCTGACACGTTTGCGGACTAGCTTTTTGCGTATAAATAATTGAAATACCTCAGTCCCTGCTGTGTGAACCTCAATACCCGTATTATTATAATGCGTATACCTAAAGCAAAGTCCGAATACTTGCAAATATACATTGGCATAAAAATACATTTCTGTTTAAAAAGAGAAAAAAATGCCACATTGTTTTATATTACTCAATAATTTTTTTCGGTATAAATCAAAGGGTTCAAAATTGTTACGGATTTATAGATGAAATATCGACAGGAATCAATGTTATCTATTTAAGTCATACTATATTAAAAAAGCATTAGTGTACATATCTCTATATAATAATATATATTTATAATCATCCATGTTAATACATTTATGAAAATATATGTATTTATATATAGTATATATATATATATAAAATAATTTCTTTTTTTATAAAATAATTTTGTATATATATATATATATATTCAAAATTATTTTCATTATTCGTGAATACATTTTGTCACGCGGGCTTCGCTTTGGGTGCAGTACACTTTGGATGTTCACATGCTATCGTTCACACGCTCCAATACACGATGACTGAATTTTCGCGAAGCGGTGCGCGCGATTCGATATCCATTATCGAGATGGGCGAACGAATCCAGTTTACGAGTGTTTACCGGCAGGATTTCCTAGCGAGGTCGCGCCATTAACGGCGGACTAACGATTTTCCGTAGCACTATTATTCATCGTCGTTCGTATCATAAACTTCGTTCACGCTTGACCGAGCTAATAACGGTCCTAGTTGAAGTAACGGCCGTTTCCTAAATCAATTATTAAATTGCGCGATAATAATCTGTCGATCGCGGTCGTTAACATCGCGAGTTTCTGAACGCTTAATAAACTTTTTGAAATCGATAAATGTCGGAGGACAAATTTTGTTAATTATATCAAGTGTGCCCCCCCCCCCGCTATAATAATGTTATTTTAAGTGCTCATTCGTTAACCTAGGAATAGTCATCTTGCTTTTATACGTAAACGATCACCTAGGCTGTTTTTATTATCTTAATTAAAAATCGCTATTATTAACAACATATTGTATATTACTGATTGCTTTCCGATTTACCGCTATTTGATGATATTACAAATGTGGAATTATTCTTAATCTTCTGAAAAAAGTGAATAGAAACCAAACAAATATTATAAACAGAATAATAAGCATGTTAAGTAGCTTATTAGATCAATATTTCTAAAAAATAAAGATGTTAATAAAACGCTTTTTTATTGTGAGTTTTAGATGAATTGCATATTTAAAGATTCGTAAAGAATAATTATTAAAAAAGAAAGTAAAAAGATACTAGAAAAGAGAGAGAAAATATCCATTTTAAGTGATATCCATTATAAAATAATTCATATTTTTTCGTCGCTGAGTATGAAAACATCCCAGCTGACTATTCCCAGGTTAATGTTCGATTTGAAACTTATAATTACCAAACCTCTCTTCCATCAATATGTAATTGATTTCTATAGAAATCAAACACCCCCGAGTCCAGCAATCCATACATATGGATTCTCTCTATAGCTAATGAAATTATTTTTAATACTAATACAATTTTATAATTTCTTTATAATCTTTTTAAAGTTTCCATGAGTACTCTCTATGTAGAAACTATTCGTTTTGCAGATTATCTCCGTGTTCATTATTAGAATGCTTTATTGGAATTATTACACACATATTTATACACATTTAAAATTTATTTATCTGTTAAAAGACTAACTTTTAATTGAGGCTCATTATATCGCGATGTCAGATAGTATTCTTTTTGTCTAATATTTAAATACGTTCTTTTAAGAGAAAGCCTGAGAGTCTATATACGTATTCCATAATTTAAATATATAAAACACATAGCATAATATAGACTCAGAAAGCGCAGACTCTCATTATAACTGGAGCGTTTTGTTCGGTCTCAAATTTGAATGGAGTTACAATGCTCTGTTGTGTTAGAATTGCGCGGCTAAAAGGATAGTGGCGTACCCATTTGCCGAGATCCTAATCAGATCTGTCTGATGACATACGTGTTATGACTACGTGAGCGGGATGGAACAGATGCGCGGAATATGTTCCCGATTGCTGCAGAAATTTCGTACGTGCCTCGGCAGACGCTTATTACTTCAATATAAGAGGCCTTTATTATCGAATTTTCTTTTTAAATCGGTTTTTGGATTCTCTTACGATATCAG